AAAAAAAAAAAAAAAAAAAAAAAAACATATATATATATATATATATATATATATATATATATATATATATATATATATATATATCTAATTAAATTCCATTTTTTGGAGGCATTGGAATTTTAGGTAAAACAAATTTGTAGCATATAACAACTAAACGACAAGATTATTGTCATCTAGTCTAGTATAAAACAAGACCAAAGAATCTACTGCATGTATTACTACCACTTACCTTATTAAATAATTAATAAGATTAACTTATTGTTATAAGAGATTTATATAGTTAATTCCAACTTATTTTTCGTTTCAAAATTGACACGTAATCGCATTGATATTGTAAGCTGAATAAGTATTATTTTACTTGTGATAGCATCAAGTTTTAAACTATTTTTCAAAAATAAGTAATTAGATACATATTTGGGTACAAATACTTAAAATAATTAAGTAGTCTAATAAAAGAGCGCTTGGACATAAAAATTGTGAAATTAAAAAAAAAAAAAAGCAAAAAAATTCAAGTAAAAATAGTATTTGAAAAATCAGCATTGTAATTGAATATAAATACACAGACAAGTAAAATTTAAAACTTTTATGATCAAATACTAATTTTAAAAAAAAATCGAAAAAGTGAAATTTTTTTTTATGGCCAAACGGGCCATAAGTGTTTGATAAGAAATCAATAAATATTTTTTTGTTAAAATATCCTAAATGCCCTTAAGTTATTTACGTAACAATATTTTACAATGAAAAGACACCAAAGGAAAAAAAATATTGGTTTCACTTTTCTTTTCGCCTCTTCTTCAATATCCTTATTCGGGAGAAATTCAAAAATAGTCAGATTTATCAGCGGTCGTTGAAAAATAGCCAAGTTTCAAAAGTCATCGAAATTTAGCCACTTTAAATATGAGCGAAAACACTGTTCAAAATCCGAAAAAATACGCCCGCAAATTTTACGGGAGTTCCAGCATAAGTATGCTTGACTCCCGTAAATTTTACGGGAGTTCCAGGATAACTATGCTGGAACTCCCGCAAATTTTACGGGAGTTCCAGCAAGTATAATAGTCCAGTATAATATACTGGAGTTTGGAGCACTGGTGCTCCAGTCTCCCGCAAATTTTACAGGAGTTAGCAAAGTATACCGGTCCAGCATAATATGCTGGAGTTCGTACACAAATGCACCAGAACTCCCGTATATTATACTGGACCGGTCCCTGTTGCAGCAAAATAGTGGCTATTTTTCATTGACTTGATAAACGCTGGCTATTTTTCATTGACCAGTGTGAAAAGTGGCTATACCATGATATTTTAACTCCTTATTCTTCTTTGTAAAATGTATGTAGGGACCAAAGTATTATCACTTTTAGCCCGCGACAGAAATTATTTATATCTGGTAGCCAAAAAGGTATATAAATTTTGTATAATTTTTGTATATAACATACAGAATATATATATATATATATGTTTGACTATTTATATTTAACTTTAGCTAATCGATCGTGACATTCCTTTTTTTTTTTATGATACAAAGAGGAAACTTTTTTCATTAGTTCGAAATACCCAACCAATTTTGTTACTAAAATAATTTTTTCTTTTTTTGGGTAGAGAAAGGAGAGTACATTATACTATTAAATACTTAAAAAGATAGCATTAAATCATTCTTAAAATAGAAATATCCTTTTCCAATACACATGCCGTCTGATGCCAAAATTATTACTACCATGCAAGCTGAGGTAGATGCAACTTTATAAAACCGGGTCCATCTGAATTTTATATTTTTTATATGTTATATAAATTTATATTTAAAATTTTGCTAGAGTTATAATAAAAAGTAGGTACGAACTCGTAATAAAAAGTTAATAGGTTTAGTGTTAAAACCTTAAAAGTTGAACTCATAGAGTTTAAATTTTCGTATCCACTTCAACATACAAGTTGCTGTTAGGGTATATACTATTAACCATGCATTTAGACATAGTATATTCTAATAATTGTCATGGTTAAAAGTTTAAGTGGGAGATTGTTGGGATATATACTATTAACCATGAATTTTGGTTTGGATATAGTATTTATTATGGAGCAATTGCTTATTCAATTTTAATAAAGTTTTAAATAGATCATATATTCGTCTGTGTCATTTACTTATATAGTAGATGATTTAGTGTATAGATTTTAGCTTATACACTGAAGATTAAATCATCGGTTCTTATAAGTATAAAGATCATGTTCACAATCTAATGATGGAATTGGACATACCATTAGGAATGATTATAGCATAAGATTAAAGATAATTTATCTTGATTATGTGAATGGTTTAATTCTACCTTCTTGTGCTTGTACATTTTGTATGTATTGAACGGACCAAGTAGAGATAAATATTTTATACTGACTTAATAAAATAAACTCTCTAGCCATTAAATGTGCTTATACTCTTAATCTTGATATAATTGTTATTAGTTGTGTATATTATTATTGTTTTGATTTATTAAAAGCCGAGATTCTTTCGTGGGTCAATATGACTGGTAAATTGGACAATAATAATAGACATTGGCAAAGTAATAGTTAGTTGACGGAATCCATGTCTCGGTCTAGAGATTGATGATACACCTTTATGAAAGCTTACAAGTTTTTATGTGTAAACCCTGCAAGTGGATTTTGTATCCGTCACATTAAATAAATTAAGCGAAAGTCTAAAGGAAATAATCAATGAATTAAATTGTCAGTAATTTAATTTATTTGATTAGTATTTGAAACTTAACATGGGGAGTTAAATAAGATTTAATGGAAGAATTTCGAAATTGAACTGAGGAGTGCAGTTACGAATTTTTAGTGGAATAATTCGTAACTTATTATGGTAGTATTAATTCGAATATTTCGAATTAAGTCCATAATAGGAAGCCTCGTTATTTAAATACTGCGGTCCCTGCTGTGCCCGAAAAATTAGGAATTAAACGGAATTCTATTTCTTGGTGGAAAAGGAAGACCCAAAAAGTTTAGGAAAAGGGTTTAAACCCTAAAACCTGTGGCTATATAAAGATGTCTTATTCCATAAGGAGGCAAGGGTTTTACTACATGCTTTTCTTAGGAGAAATTCGCCCACACGAATTTCGCTAATTCCGGACATTATTCGGGTCACACAGCAGAAGACTGTGGAACTGGGGGATGATCTCGTGGACGGTTTCGTTCTTGCTTGGAGGCTTCTCGCGATCACGGTCACGCTTCAAGAGATAAGTATCGATTTTATGCTCGATTAAAATCTGTGATTATGTGTTGTTTATATTACATGCAAGTAATCCTGACTATTTGCTTCCGTTGTTCATACCTGTGATCCATCAATTGGTATCAGAGCCTGCTTGCATCTAAGTAGGTAACGCGGATGATATGTATATGTTTGATTATACGTATGTTTCATGATTTACGATCTTGTTGAAAAATCGTGTGCAAAATTTAAAAGTTTGTTGCGTTTTTTCTGCCGTCGTAGTTGAAGACATATAATTTGTTTGAAAATT